TAGTTTCCACCCATTGCTTCTTGTTCTGCCCTCAGGTGCCTTGGAGAATAGCTTGACTCCCTCTTCTTTGTGGCATTGCAACTTCCAACAATGAATGGTTGTAAGTCGAGGACTATGTCTTTTGCAAATTCAATTTTAGCCGTTTTGTAGATGATATGATAGCCTCCCTTTTACGAACAGAGATTTACCGAGCTGAAAAAGCCACGTGAGTTGTATAGATATCTATCTATATCTATTCCAGATATTACACCTCTTAATCCTATGCATATTCCCCTTCTTTTAATAAATATACGGCTCCACCGTTTAACGCAGCTTTCTAGTCCTCATGAAACGCTGCGATTTTGTTCTGATCCCGTTGAAGTCTTGCTGCCGGGGCATTGGGCCGCGAGGGAGTAGCATGTGCTGAAACACAGCTAATCCTCGACTTACAACCACAATCGAGCCCAACTTAACTGTCGCTAAGCGAGACAGTTGTTAAGTGAGTTCTTGTCCCCCCTTTGACCACTTTTCTTCCCGCCGTCGTGAAGTGAATCCCTGTAGTTCTTAACTTAGGGACACGGTTGTGGCTTTGCTCATCGGAAGGTCGCCACGACCGTCGTAAATGTGAGTCGGTTGTGTGAATTTCGATGACGTGACTTGGGGAGGCATCAACAAGTAGTAAGTGTGAGAATGGGTCTCCTAGGGCTCTTTTTACAGTGCCGCTGTAACTCTGAAAGAGGCGTTGTAAGCTGAGGACTTCCAGCAGTCGGCGGAAGGGACAGTTCCTTGGTGAAGGTCACTCAACTTCTCGTCTTCCTCCTTGGTCTTCTCCAGCTCCAGGAATGGAACGTGGAAGCTCAACATTTGATGCCCCTCCAGCCTCCTCTGGTCCCCGAGCTGAGCCACATGCGAGAAGCGCAGCTGCACACCGCCGAGGCCTCCCTCTGGAGCGTGGTGGCCACTGTCCAGGCCATGGAGAGGAAGATCGACCTGTTGGCCACCCGTCTGCTCAGCTTGGAAGGCCGATCCGGGACAGCTGAGAAGAAGCTCTTGGATTGTGAGAAGACAGCTATGGAGTTCGGAAACCAACTGGAGAACAAGTGGGCCGTCTTGGGCACCCTCATCCAAGAATACGGCCTCCTGCAGAGAAGGCTGGAGAACATGGAGAACCTTCTCAAGAACCGCAATTTCTGGGTCCTCCGGCTGCCCCCGGGATCCAAGGGAGAGATCCCCAAGGTCAAGGGTCCTCTAAGAGGAACGGGGAGCGGGTCTTGTGTGGGGGAAAGGAGCCCTGGGAAGGGAAGAGGCTGGTTCCTCAGAAGGATGGGTGGTGGTTCTTCTGAAGTCACCACAATGGCCTAGATCTGGGCATCTCCTCCCCTGTGGTGGTTTCCAGATGTTGGGTTGAGACCAGAGGTCCCATAATTGTGTCTCAAGATGGCTCCAATGGGAATTGTCCTCCCCGAAACATCTGGAGACTTACGGGCTTACATCCTTCAACTTTTTGATGGGACACAAACCCATCATTGGTGGCCTCCCAAGTGGGAAGCTTCCTTGACACCAATCCTTCCCTCTCAAACCTTAGATCAACCCACCTCACAAGGTGGTTGTGTCGGGAGATAATATTTTTTCAAAACGAAAGATCCAAAATTAGGAAAGGATATATGTGTGTGTGTGTGTGTGTGTGTGTGTGTGTGTGTGTGTATATATATGTATATATGCGTGTGTATATGTATGTATGTATGTATGTATGTCTGTATGTGTGTGTGTGTATATATATATACACACA